ACCTGAATTTCAAGAAAGAACTGGTAGTCAATAGTAGCAGTTGAAAATCAAATGATATTCGTAAGAATTAAACTCATTTTCGATATGCATAGCATATACAATAGCGGGAAATCTTAGTACATCAATCAAATATAATAATAATTAGTTATTTCCTGACAATATCTTTCATAAAGCTGATATCAACTTGCATACGCTGAAATCTAGTTAAAGTACTACTGAAGTAACTGTTATACAAATAAAATTGCCACTAAACTTCTAGATTACAATCGATTTTTGTTAATGAGGCACATAGGGGCACAGAGTTTCTGAAACGACTGTAAAACATTAGACAAATTATTCAAATTTTTTTCTAGGCCATTGGCCGTAATGTATGAAAGCTATTTAATTTCGTAAATACCGCTAAGATAATTACGGTATACATTACTCTATGATGATAAAGTTATGACAATAAGCAAGAATTTATACGTGTATAGAAATACCAATAATGACTCTAAATAAAAATTTTAAAGCTCACAAAAATAAGTATTACCACCACTTCAAGTGAAGGAATTTATTTAGAATTATCATAAATAGCAGCTGCAACCGCACTTTTAGCTACTGTATGCTGAAATGTATTGGCTTATTCTTTTGCCATATCATTATACGCGTATATAATTAGTAAGCAAGCAACATTTTTATCTTCAAGAATAGGCAGTGCAAGGAATTCTTGTTACATTAGTCATAGCATTTACTTCAAAAAATTTCATAAAAAGAAAAAATAGTCTAGGTTGCACTTAGCAGTATTAATACTCTAATCAGAACTAAACGAAAATTTTTTAAATGAAAGCGACGATCACTCATTATTCAAAGGCAACTCTTGGATGGACATTCGCTAACATTAAATAAACATAATTAATTCGATAATCTGATGCTATTGAGACTGTAATTAATGGGAAATATCAATTGCAAAGCCTAGTCTGTATCTTATTTTAGCCGTCGTCTCGAATTCTTTCAATTTTATTGACTAATGTAAATAAAGTTACGAAGGAAAAGTAAGGTACCTGTCAATCAGATTCCATCGTACTTATTTCTAATAAATAGATTTCCGATTTTTGTGCTAGCTGAGATAGCTTCATACGAAGAATCTCTAGGGCTTTATTGAGCCTATTGAATCTATACTATCAATACAGTAGTTTACTTAACGGATGTAATCAATTTGGCGACATATATTTTGAGATTCTTACCTGATTGGGTCTAGAACCTTCATAAGATACTGTAGAAATACATTAAGGATAGAGTCCCTGTAGTACAGAAATGAATACAATATGCTTTCTATTGTATTTTAGGAAATTAAATTAAAAAAACTTCCACAAATCCAGATTGCATCAACAGCTTTATAGACGCTCTTTTCAATCTATAAAAGCGCATCTTATTAATACTATAGTAACTACTGGCATAGTACAACAGATTTTAATAATCCTTCGGGCAAAGTCGATCAAACAGTAAACAAAACGAGCGAAATATTTACGACGTACACAAGGAATGCCTTTTTTTGTATATATACATATACAGGCAAACTGCTCTAAATATTACTCCCACGTAAGTGCAATTTTAATTACAAGCATTCTCTACTTTTAACCCTAATCGTAAATACACAGCTCATCTGAGTACCAAGAATACAGGAATAAAAAGGGCTGAATATGTCTTTGAATCAGTCATTAGCGATCTTTAGCAGCTGTTAAACTAAATACTATGATAAATAGTCCACTGTATCATACCAATGGATTTAAAAATACAGTAGCATACTGTACTTATGAATGGAAGGTAAATTTTACGGGAAATCTTTTTACTAATTTATTAACTGAATTTTTACATTCAGTTATTGCCAATTATATTAGGCTGATCTTTATTAAAATTTCTCTTTTGCTGCGATACTATCTGTACAGTATAAGAAGTTTCAAACGACTAATGGCATCGATGAAATACTTAAACGGTAGTACCGTATAAATATAGCATAGCTCCATATCGATCAATTATTTAGTATTATACGTATGAATGATTGATTGATCGATCAGTAAACTTTTAAATGAATAGATTGCAAAATAGTTGGCTAGTCAAATATGCTCAGCATGAATCAACAAACAGTATTATAAATTTTCTATGTTAAATTTTAATTCATAAAACGTAAATAAATATTTAATTGATTAGTAGTTATTGACATACTACGGTATACGCGTATAATCCTCGTATTACGAGGTGATCAATTATAGAGGAACGTATGATTATGAGGTCATAAAAAGTTGAAAAAGTTTTTAATAATTAGCAATGCTCAATTACTAAAACTCGATTATATGAGATTAAATCAAATAATTTTGCCTGCTAATTTTTTCCAACTTACTATTGGTAACCGGCCGCCTTCAGGTACATCTATACAGTGGTAGTTGCTATGTCCATTTAATTCTACCCTGGAGGCTGTTAATTGTTTTCAATTTAGGATCCGTAAACATCGTGCAGTACTATTCTAAAATTTGATCCCATCGTCTTAGTTACTGCTGCGGTCATTTCATCACGTAAAACATAAAAATAACAGCTAGAATGAATAAATCAGCCGGATTTTACCTAGTGAACGGAGATGACGTCGAAATGCACTCTTTGATGACTTAGATCAATATTAATATTATTAAAATGATTCGAAATTTATTTCATAATTCCGCCGTGCACGTGTCTCTATACTATCTATTACAATTAAAAATAAAGAACTAATTTACGTTCAGATACTTGAAACATCTATTGCAATTACCTTGATGATTGTTTCTATTTAGAAGATATGTCATAACATCGCATCTATGTTACATTACCTGATTACGCCACATGGCTCTTTGTCATGGAAATTTATCGTACAATATTGTTTACATTTGATATTATTCAACGGATAAGGCAATGGATTGCAAAGAATACTGCTACATGAGCTGCTATTAGATTGAAACCTGTATCATGCATAGCTCTCCAATGTACAGTAATAACTATAACGATAGAATGTATCCTGACTACAAAGCTTCTGTCACTAACATTCAAAGAGATTTTTGCAACTTCAGTTAATAAGAATAAGAGAAAGTATTATTTTTGTTCAGCCATAGATCGCTAAAAATGAGGCCACAAATCCAGACCTGCATCATCTAATATTCATAGCTAGGCAAATCACTTTAAAATTTTAAATTTAATTTATGATGGCAACTGTTTTCAAGCTTTCCGCTAGTTAATTTAACTCGAAATTGCCTTGGTTGACTCAGATTAACTTTCATTCATTAATTGATGATTCCTCATCTATTCTACTTACAGGCTTAATTTGATGATTATATTTATAAAATGTTATTGTACAATTAAGAATCTCATCTTATAAATCATAATCGAGTTTAATGGTTTAAAATTAAGTTTTTGTTCATTTCTAAGAAAACGGGAGTGTTTTAATATCATTAGCTGTATCTGATGACACAATATTGATAGATGGAAATTATTGCATTTGATATAGTACGTATGCATTCCCCACAAAAATTTTTGCCTCTATGGCATTTTCTTCATTGGCTTGGAAACTTTCTCTACAACAATAAATTGGAACAAATTAATGAAATAGTAGGACAGAGATGAACTAATCTTTTTAAACGAAGTGAAACACCTACGTAATAAATCCGTCCATAATTACAGTACTATTGTAGTTTTGGGATAAAGGTATGATTTGATCTTCTAATCAGGGCTGAGAAGGAGGATTTATGATTGCCCTTTGTGTTTAGCTAGACTCAGCTTGGTCAAATAATAAGATGCTCAAGGATAAAATGACTTATAAAAAACAACCTAAACTGGATAAGAAAATAAGCAATCTCTTAAAAATGACAATAAAACTATCATTAGTAGTTGTTATTCTTCTCTTTTGTATCCGTTCTTATTGTCTATACATCTTGACGATCTTACACCTTCCTCTTTTTTTGTTACTAACCGTGGCTATCTAATGTGGCGCATAACTTTTTATTACAACAATTATTATTAATTAAAAAGAAGAAATTCTTCACTTAACATAGTAGACAATGGCCTATGGATAAATTTATCTTTTAGCTAATACGCTGGCACATGATAGTAAATTAGTAGGCCATACTATGACATAATAATCGACTTCTTATTTACTCTCGGTTATTAATGCAACGCTTACTGGTTTTTCACTTTACAGTAAGACGTATAGCCAGTAAAGGGTAAAACGATAATTTTAAATCTAGCTATTGCTTGATTACATGCTACATATTGAAATAATTAATTCAGCGGTGTGCTATTCAATGATTACCAATATTTCAAGAAGACGAGTGTCGTGGTTGTCGTAAGTAAAAATTGTTAAAGAAAAAATTTCAAAAATCGTTATGATCATTTGACAAACTGCCAATACTTGCCCAAGAGTTGTGTTATAAACGATCAAAGTATATTTTGACAAATACGTACATCGGGGAGAAAAGAAGGAAAACTATCTTGTTTGTTCTTAACATTCTCCAATTCTTGTAACGTTACCGCGTCTGTTAAAAAGGCCGAAATTATGCAGAAAAAATTTAAAATTAATTCATTGATAGATCGTTTTTTCAGCCTATCCAACGTGCATTAATTTTTTAATCTCTATGCCTGTCTGCGTGTTGATTAATTATATTGTTGCATGGCACGTATAAGATCAAATAACCGAAATTTAAAATTGTAATGAGCATAAATTTCTTGCTCAATCGTTGTTTCAATCAATTATTTGGTCTGTTAACTTTGCTTACCGAATTAAACAACAACTTATTTTACAAATTTTTCTTAGCGTATCCGTTTTTGTAACAGTAGCTAACTCACATCTCCCTGCCAATCGTCCTTTAGTTAATTTTTCTGCCTGATTATTTAGTTATAGGTTGTAATTGAGTGGAAGAAGATTTATGTAAAGTGATATTCCAAAGATCAATTGAATAAGTTCTCTAATATAAAAGAATTTCAGCGATTTAATTGACAGCAACATGAAAGTTTTACTAAGATCGAGGACATGCATATTCTCTTTGGCCCTGGTTGCTTTAGTTATCTCTCAAAGAGCAACAAGCAATCAAGAACTGGATCCCAAGATGTAAGTAAATTAGTTTGCGATGTTGTTCTTAGTTTTCCTACTTATCAGCAGTAAGAAGCTTATTGTTTCTATGATGATCGCATGATGATGTTAGTATTTTATTAATTGAAGTTACAATCCAAGCAAAATCTTGAACTGTCTGCGTAGCATATTAGTAAACTTTAATGCACAATTTTCTTGCATGGCTTTGATCATTCGTCATTTGATAACCACTGTACCATTTAATTCTACTCCCTGAATTACAATATACAGTAACTGTGCTTCCCAACGATGGGCGCTGAAGTACAACATATGATAAATGTACTCATGAAGATAGTCTTAAAATTCAGCCATTGCAATCGTATTAAGTATAAAACTGCTATTATGTTTTAATCTGCGGCTTGTAGCTAATGAAATCGTATGCTTAATTTGATCAAATGTTACATGGTTATTACTGTCATTATAACATTTGTAATTCTGCCGTACCGATACCTTTAGAATCAGATATTACTTATATTTATAAATTATAATCTTAAAATGATCGGCAACAGTAATTTTCTCACTGTTTTTCTATTAGGCCGCACGTCTGTCGAGATCGAAGAAAAGTAACAAAACAAGAATTAGTTCAAACATCGGTTAATGTAACTAAAGAATTTCGAACCCATATTAAGAGTGATCGATGCCCTCAGTGGTGTGTAGAAATGAAAAATATGTAAGTTATCATTAATAGTAGTTTATAATCTATGTGATGCATTTATTTTTTAATCTTTGTAAAGTAACTTAGGGCGATTCTAAAGGGATACAAGGATATGGTTCCTTTTAATTCTACTGTATTATATTACTTGAAATAAATATATTTCATAATATTTATATCACAGAACAAATCAAGAACTAGTTAAAACCTGGGTACCAATAACAGAATACGTCGATACTTATGTCTGTTGTCCTGGTTGGCAGCAAGTCAATAATAATGAAAAAGGATGTACGAAAAGGGGTTAGTAAGAATTCAAAAGTAAAATACCCAGTCCTCACACTATCACTGTCGATCAGTATCGGCTTACCATTAGTTACAGATTACCTTTGAATCCCCATTATGATTCAAGATGTTGATAGACATTAAGTGGATTATCAATAACTTTTGAACTACTTCGGCTATAGCTTGATAAATTTAATAGATCTACAATGGACCGTTATTTCTGTGTTCTATAATTCTACCTAACTACAGCTCCTCCACTGTTAATAAATAAATATTTTTTTCGAGAATTGAAAAATGATAGAGGATGCTTTGTATAGGTATCCATTTATAGCCAAATTTTTACGTGTAGTCATTTGTCCTTAAAATTCAAAATATGCCTGTGCATCTACAATAGTTTCAATGCTTAATCTCATTTATGGTCGAGTTTTGTACTTCCGAGATATGTAGTAATTTGCAGCTCAATAGTTTCATTTTCAACGTCTACGTATTTGCACTTACCGCCTACTAAGGTCTTCCTTGCGATACTTCTTACAATATGACTGCCTACTAAATTGCTGTTATCATTAAGCAATACGAGTACAGTATACGACTTTAAAAATTATAGTGTTTCGTAAGGGATTTCAGACGTACTTTTAATTTTGTGGTTAACGAGTCTATAAGTTATTACTGGTGACGTCTCGCATATTGCTATTAGAATATTACCTTTGCCCATTTTATCGACATAAGAATGATAAAGATGGAGTTATCTGAATAAAAACACTGTGATATCACCTTCAATAAATCCTTGCCAACCTTTCAATGGAAAGTATGGATTTATTGAAAGGTGTCAAACAAGTAAACGTAAGTTCTATATAGCTCTACAGTATACCATAATAATGATGGATTCGCATAAAAATATTAACACCGAGAACCAAAGAGAAAAGTGTATCATTTAAATATACTACAAAAACAGAATATTGATATAGCTTATAGATTTCAACTGTTTTGCTATTCTTTTCAGTGCTAGACAATAAAACTTCAAAACATTTTAAGAGCTTTTTTTACTTTCGAATAAAATAGATTAGATTTTGTAATCGTGTACTTTGTCATATAGAATTAGCGCTTAGTTGTTTCTTAACGTAACTTGCTCCTATCAGTGCTTAAATTATCACAACGAGATTGGCACTGAGAAAAATATTTCATATTTTTTGCCCTTTTAGAAAATTGTCGGCAATGATCAGTAACCAAATATTGCTATTGTCTAAAATGTTTTCTTTAGTGATATCTATAACTCGATCATTATGTAGTATATAAACATAAAACTATTGCTTTCTATGTTTATAACGGAGACGACCTTGCGGCAAATAGAGCGTTATCAATGTAGAACGGTAACAATTACTTTATGATCGTCAATAGCTTGGTAATTGATATTCAGTTCTCTTCATTAACATGTAAAGAAATTTCATAAAAATAGCGGTCTATCGGATCAACTCGAAAAAGATAAATATTAAGTCTTATATGATACCATGGAAATTTGAACTTCACTAGTCATATTGGCGTCTGTAACATTGTAGTACAATTATGTTAGTGATTCATGTACGATATACAATAAGGATATTTGATAACTTGAACAGCAAAAGATAATTGTAATCGTGGAGAAATAGAACCAAAGTATTACTAAACACAAATTGATACAGCCTCAAAATAAAACACTCGGTGATCGCAATGATTGCCCGAGGCTTATATCCTATTCATGCCCTCTGTCCTCAATTTATCTGGCTAGCCTTTTGTTCTTTATCTTATCTTCTATCTAATTACCTCCACCTGTCAGGAAATTACATAATATAACACATATTATACTGTACATGCAACTTATTTTTTGCATGACGAAATATTTCTACGTATTTTAAATCTCGAATGAGCCTAAAATAGAAGTATCAGACCCTTGGAGTTAGCACTGGACTTTATACTACAGTATATTGATTTTAGAATTATTATTATCATTTATAGAATGCTTACAATACACCTCAAGGAAAGGGCCATCGATGATATAATAACTTTGGCCTATATCGTTATACACGTACATTAGAAATGAGATTCTAGGTTTACTGTCTTTACAATGCTACACATTGAAACCAACATTAACTTCATCCCCATAATCAAGTAGGTTTCATTCAACTTAATCAAGGCTATCTAAGACATTAGTATTGTTTTCGGGTCTCCACCCTATTCATTGATTGAACAATAATAGTTTATTATAATTATTGACGAATAGATAATATGGTAACGAAGACGATAACATAGTAATACATATTATTATACTGTATAGTATCGATCAGTGTAGACAGTAACTATTGCATAGATAGTAAAAATTAATACATTAATAATAATGCTTACGTCGCAGACATGATAAGGCTAATAGTGATAATTAATAGATAATTTTTTAAACTGGAAAGATTTTAATACGCTTTACAGTCAACTATTATGTAGTCAGGTAATATGGTAATCGCTTGTAGAAACATGACTGATCGAACGTCATTTCGATTATAACTGAATGCTTATTACTTATTTGTTGCACGATCATATATAGATCAGTTGCTAATGTGTAACCATTTTCTAGGATCAATTCTAATTGCAAGATAATTAAACGCAGAGTGGATTATTTTATACAATATTCTACAACGTAACTTTGGTACCGTTCGACCTACCGTAAACTGCGCGCGTTAAATTTCTTTAATTAATTAATTCCTTTGTCGAGAACCTATTTCATTGCTTTGGATAATGAGTCATGCTCTGTTATGTTTACTATCAGAAATATTTCTATTTATGTAAAATTAGTTCTATGTATAAATCAATTTAGCACGTAGATAACCTTTCAAGCTAGTATTTCAGCTAAGAAACTATCTTACAGAAGCAAGTACAACTGTATTAATCATTTTCATAAATAATGCAATGACCGTAAGTTGTCGTTATAGTATTTAGCCAATGAACATCAGTGCTAACCCACATTTTAATTGAAACTTTAATTTTATTAGCATAGTTTTCATGATAAACTATGGCTATAAACATTGCAAACGCAAATGGTGTATATCAGTGTTGTTATTGATATTCTTCAATATAACTTGTGAATTATAGTACTATAATAAGGAGATTATTCTGTCAGCATCGGAGTCTTTAGACTTCGCAATCACACTAGGTAGTCTAATTAAATTTAACAATTTTAAAGTATGTGATACTAATGTCATCGGGATGGAATAGAGGATAAATACGGTAAAAAAGATAAATTTTTCTGACTATAAGATATGTGTTCATTATACTCCTGCCTGTTACAATACTAGGTGTAATTGGATTGTGTACTCATGTTCTAGAATGTAATCTGTCGATTAGACTACAGTAACTAGACAATTTCAGAAAATATTTCGCATTACAATTTTAATAAAATGCTACCACACTATAGCAAGACAAAATTGATAATACTGTACAGAATACGTTAAGAGCTTAGTGCAAAATCTAAAACGTGACTGACGTAATTTCTAATCTAATAGATCAAGTTATTATTGCATATATAGGGGCATAAGTTGATATTCTATGTCTCTCATTATTTTATTTCAAAATTTTTAAAAGTTATTCAAACTGCAAATTTTAATAGTTAGCAACGTAGAAAACTGCTCTGAGGATAGATGCAAGAACGGCGGCAATTGTACTTATGCGTCGGTGAATAGTAAATTCGTTGTAATTGGTTGTGACTGTCCTAAAGGTTTTACCGGACCTAGGTGTGAAAACGGTAAGGAAATTTACTGCTTGCTCGCATTAATAGTATATACTGTTCACTTAGCTGTAGCTTATATACTGTAATGCGAGTGCTACAAGATATTTTATATTCTCTTTTCCAGACATCGATGAGTGTGCCACAAGTCGCCATGATTGTCAGCAAAGTTGCCGTAACACTATAGGAAGTTATGAGTGTGAATGCCACGATGGACATTTTAGATATAATACAACCCACTGCTCCAAGGGTAGATATTAATACATTATTATATAGTTTCTAGACAAAATATATTCATAAGGTCATTTACTTATAGTCTGTAATGAATTTGTTAAATCCTATAAATGCTATAATCTTATATATGGAATATATACATAATTGATCGATAATTTTAACATAGACTCCAATCCATGTAAAACTGAAAATGGTGGCTGTGAAAAGCAGTGTTTATATAATCCTTCTACTAAAGTTAAGAGTTGCGCGTGCCCAAGTGGAATGATCTTACAAGCTGATGGATTGCATTGTATGAGTAAGTAGAGATGAAAAATAATTGTAATCGAAAATATTTAAAGCTTTATAAAAGTTGATATCTGTATAATGTACAAGAATTAAACTCATTTTTAAGTAATCAATAGTAATTATCACATCGATATACCATACATAAACACGGATGAAAGAATAGAAAAATACAAATTTTCGTCTAAAAGTAGACCACATATATCTACGTAGTTTCATAGCAAATGGCCTGAACGATAGCTCATGTGATTCAGCTACCGATAAATATGAAATATATTTTCAAGGATGATTTAAAATTTTAGCTGGACTTCAGTGAGATTTTTAGATGGATTAGTTTTTGTTTTTACTTTCAGAATTTAATAACCCATGTATTACTAACCGAGGAAAGTGCCAATTTGGCTGTGACTATGACTCTAGTGGAACTATGACCTGTTTATGTCAAGCTGGAACTCGATTGGCGCCCGATGGTAAAACTTGTCTTGGTAAGCCATCGCCAGCAATAATAAGAAAATATCAAAAAAGTTTTCATTAATAGCTTATGATGAACTCAAATATTGTAGATATCAACGAATGTGAAGAACATACAGCAGATTGCAGTGATATCTGCTTCAATACGTATGGTAGCTATACTTGTAAATGTATACCTGATCGTAAATTAATTCCTGGTACCCATACTTGTGAAGGTTCGTTTAAATCCTCGTAGCAGACTTCATTCTTGAAGCAGTATTTTAACTCTTATAGCGCCACTTGCTAACTTAAGCATCTCTTATATTTTCCAATTATCCATAATACTAAGTATATTCTATATAATGTCATTCTGATTAGCTAATCAGATGAAGGAGTGTTATTTTAGTAAATAATCAGGCTTAATTTTAATCATTCAGATGGCGATCCGCATCCATGCTCTATAAACAATGGTGATTGTGAACATGAATGTCGGTCCTATGGCGACGACAACGAAAGTTTTCGATGCACTTGTTTGCCTGGCTATCAACTAGCTGATGATTTAAGAAAATGCATAGGTTAGCATTTTTTATGTATGCTATTAGTATCTTTGTACCGTATATCATATATGTTCATGTCTTGGTATCTAACGCATAGATGCGCCAAGCTTATATTCGTATCGCACATTGCACTTTGGTGATAATTTATTTCCATGATATGTCACTGCAGATATCGACGAATGCAAAACAGGCAAGTCACAATGCCAGTATCAATGTGTAAATACCATTGGCAGCTATAAGTGTGAATGTCCTAAATTTTACAAGTTAGCAGCTGATGGAGTTACCTGTGGTAAGTGTCATTACCATTTGAATATAGCTAGCACCTAGTAATTTAATAAATTAGGAAAATAAGAATTTAACTTCTCATTATATATATAATTACATAAATTTGATAAAGAATATTCTAAAGCTGCAAGCATATTATCTATTCGTATTTAAAGGACTTTTAAAATATATTACTAGAATAGCATCAAATTTTGCTTCATTTTTAATCTCATAATTAGAAAAGTTGATAATGAATCAATCAGTTATTTGCTTGAGAGGTATGTGATATGGAATATTTCATTATCGGAATTGCGTTCTTGCATTAATAAGATTAATATTAATTACGTTAAAGGCCACTTTATCGTTAATACTGACGATGTAAATTGAAATTTATTCTGCTTGCTGTAGAATGTAGTAAAGGTTACTATGGAGATAATTGTCAAAGCAAGTGTAATTGTCACGAAAGCAACACTGCTAATTGCACCCGCAGTGGTATCTGTATATGTAGAGATGGCTTCTACGGAAGATACTGTCAACGAAGTATGAGCGCAGAACGAATCTTTTAAAAGTTGCACTGATAGCGTTTTTTCCAGCGATATTGTAAAGAAAGTGACTTTAATGCCTCCTTTATTTCTGGTGAAAATATTTAGAATGCCCTAGTGGAACTTATGGCTTTGCATGTGATCACAAGTGTAATTGTGACAAGAACAGTATTTGTCATCACATTACAGGCGTTTGCATACCCAATATCTGTAAAGCAGGTTACTATGGCAAAGACTGTAGAGAAGGTAATAGTTTGAATCATTAAAAAATCGTTCATTAATAATTTTGTATCGAGAAATTTTCAAGTGATTGGATGTGATTTAATTTCTCTCCGATAGTATGTCCTGCAGGAACTTACGGATCAAATTGCTTCTTTAAATGCAAGTGTGATTCACCGAAACAATGCCATCCAATAACAGGAAATTGCATTTGCCCGGCCGGCTGGCATGGCGAGTTATGTGATCAAGGTGAAAAAAATATATTAGCTCTGAGCAATCTTAGCACTCAGTGCCACTCAGTTCTTTAATTGTATTAGGTAATACTTTATAATTTATAAAGCTTTGAATACGAGTATTAATGTAGTATACTTTAATAAATTAGCGTGTGAAAACGAACGCTTTGGACCTGATTGTCAACACTCGTGTCAGTGCAAAGGAAAAAATTCGGTGTGCTTGCCTACTAATGGTGAATGTATCTGCAAAAGAGGCTTTGATGGTCCAAATTGTGAAGTTGGTAAGTTCTGCTAAATAACCTCAACACGATCGTAATAAAGATGCATTCATACCGGAAGATGATGCTAAAATATATTTAATAACTAAAGGATATGTTACTTTCAGCTTGCCCTGCTGGTAGATACGGAAAGGGTTGTTTACAGATTTGTGAGTGTCCTTTCAATAGTTATTCTTGTGTTAAAAGCATTTCTGGATATTGCCACTGCAAACCCGGATATTTTGGACGAGATTGCTTGTCCAAATGCTCTAGAGGTTTCTTTGGAGAGGGTTGCAACAGTATTTGTAACTGTCCAGACCAAGAAGGATGTGATCCAGTTACCGGTGGTTGTAACTGTCCTCCTGGAACTTTTGGAAGAGATTGTATTAATCGTAAGTTTTGTATGATTTATTGTTAATTTTAATCGAACAAAACCCTAACAAATTCCTAAAGGGTGTGGTATTATATTAGCAACGTAATACTATAGCACAATATAAAAATATCTTCATATATCATCTAAATATCAATTCGATAAATTACCTAGGCTGCACTGTTGGATATTTTGGACGCAATTGTCATTATAAGTGCCACTGTAATAATAGTGATAGTTGCGATATAGTAACCGGAAAATGTAGATGCAAAGGAGGTTGGACCGGTGCAACATGTAATCAGCGTAAGTATTATTGCTTCTGATAGAATTTAATTATTTAGAAAGATGACAATTTTTTATGTAAAGTAACTGGAGGCCAGATTGTTTTTCTATGACTCCGTTTAATTACTAAATATTAATAAAATGAATTGATAGCATGTCCTTCGGGTACGTATGGAGTCGATTGCCGATCAACTTGTGTATGTGGTACAGGTGGACATTGTAGTGAAGATGGCAAATGTCTGTGTAAGCCAGGATACATGGGCCAATCATGCAATCGAAGTAGGCTATATGATCCAAATTTTTCCACTATTTATTTATTTTAATTAATCATATCTTGATAATAATTTTAATTTTATCTATAATTTTGCCTTTTGATAAATAAAGGATGTAGTGGTGGAAGATACGGGCCACGTTGTTCTAAGCTTTGTACATGCGATTCTAGTGCTATTTGTAATTCTATTGATGGATCATGTAAATGTCCCCTTGGACGTACCGGCAAGCGATGCGAAAAAGGTAACTAAAAATTTGGTAGTATATAGACGAGAGATTATGGGGAAAATTATGTTGATAATTAAATGCTGTATCCATATTCTGTATTATTAGAATGTCCTCCAGGAAAGTATGGTCCAAATTGTATATACAACTGTACATGTCAGAATGGTGGATTATGTGTTAGCAGAATAGGATCATGTTTATGCCCTCCTGGATATTACGGGGCACAATGTGAAAAGGGTAACTTTATATCTGAATTTGAGAATTTATTAGTATAGGGTTATCAAGCTAAGAGATGATAGGCTGATTACACTATAAGTTCAAAATTGATAAAAGTAGGTAAAAGTACAACTCAACGCTAAATTAAGATTTTTGTTGGCAGCTTGTAGTAGTGGATTTTGGGGGTACCGATGTTCGATTCCTTGCCCATGCAAACATTCAGAAGGGTGTAATCCTCAAACTGGTGCATGCAAAAGGTGTCTACCTGGTTGGATGGGACCATTCTGTGATAAACGTACAAAAATTTGATGACAATCTTACCATAACGATAGATCCATTTTAATTATCTCAGCAACGGAACTCTGCAATCCGTAATGTGTGTATTCATACTGTTTTATGTGATTGCTTTAGCTTGTCCTCTCGGCAAATATGGTCCTAACTGCATGTTGACATGTCCTTGCAATTCGACTGTTGGATGTGATTCAGATGGCAGATGCAAATGCCCACCTGGAAAAACGGGCCTAAATTGTGAAGACGGTAATTTTCGTATGTTTGTCTCAAGTAAATTTGCTGTTGATACCATTTATATGAGTTTAATTTTAGTGACATAATTTATGTTGTATTTTCATAATAAAGTATTTGGCCCAAAATTTTAGGATTACTAACGATGCAATAAACACCATTTTCTGTCAGATTGTCCACTTAATCGTTATGGTAGTAATTGTCGGCTAACATGTAGTTGCCATAATGGTGGCACTTGCGATCCTATAAATGGAAGTTGTGACTGCAAGAATGGCTTTACCGGCCCAACATGTTCGACATTGGACAAACGTTAGTTGAGTTTTTTATGATAAAATAGCAATGTCATGCTATACGATGCTGTATCAGTAAATTTTGTTCTTATGAAATACTTTTTTCGTTATTACAATATTTAGGGATTAACGATCATTTAGCAACTTGAGGTTCAGCTAAAATGCCGTCAACCAATTTATGATATCACATTTACCTTTCCATGCAGTAAGATGATATGATGGAAAACAGATAATTATATAATAATTATAATATAGTTTTAAGTTATTTGAGCAGGAATAATGCTCTAATGTAAATATCCAATATATCGTATATCTATATTCAAACAGCAAAATTTGTAATCTTTTCAACTAATAATTGTAAATGCTCCTATGTAACGGATAACAAGGCGTTGAATCGAATTATCTATTTAAGACAAGTTATTTTCCTTGTCAGATGGATTAGGATATCTAAATAGAATGATAGCGTTATGCGACTGATGATAGATTTTTGACGTCAATTAACGCTCACTTCATTGAATTAATTACAATTCATTATTGAATTTGCATGGTAATGATGTAACCATTTGAATTCATAAGCCTTTTTTGAATATACCTTAATTAAGTTACGTTGTTACCTAAGAGAAAGTGTCTATCTTAACTCTAAATTATTTACTAATGGAACTTCTAGTTTCAGCAAATTACTCAATTTATGTTTATTAAATATATTATTGATTGACCTCATTGTTAGAAAAGCCAAGTCCTATTTGGTTAATTAATTATTTACCGTTACAGAAATACGTATCGTTTTTGTAGTATACGGATATTAATAATTATTATAATTGGATTAATGAGTGCATCTACGCGTATGTCAAAAGGCATTTAAGTTATAGCGGTCATGTATGTTCAATTAATAATTATTACTATCATTATAATCATCATTGATTGATTAGATTGTTGATCTATTACCGTATCAATAAAGAGGGATGATGTTACAGAGGCATCTATCCATGCACGGAAGGAGATTGTAATTTATGAATCGGTATACGTACGCGTATTTACACGGTGTACAGCGTATATAAATTTAAGCTTTAATATGAAGTGATCAATACTTTGAAGATAGGCCAAAGAAGACAAGATATTCGTTGATACTTAATAATGCTATACTCGTATTTGGCCAGTATTTTGCTCCGGAAATTAATTTACGATCGCATTGTATTTGTTGCCTATCTTTACATGGTTCAGAGGCAACCGTGCTATCGTTGAATCTGCCATTATTCGATCTTAATAGACTAATAATAAATAGAATCAGAATCGCATTTTCGTTCGGAGACCTAGCGATAGGAATCCATCACAGGATACTTTAATAGTTAAAGGAGTTGCTCAACCATCTTTTCCTCTCTATTGACTACCTTAGTTTAGATTAGAAGGAAGAAACAAATTGATCTGAGTAGCGCAATAGTTAATTTCATTATTAATCCTGCAGGAGACAGCTACTACACATTTAGTTAAAGCATCTGTAATTCAGGTTGAAATAGAATCGGAATCGCACATTCGTTTGCGATAAGATGCTCTTTAAAAAAGGAGCTGCTCAAGTAGCTCAATCACCATCGTTTCCTCTTTATTAGCTATCTTACTGTAGATTAGCAGGAGAAGGCAAACTAATTTGAATCGCGCAATGATTAATCCTGTAGAAGACAGCTACTGCATATTCAGCCAAAGAACCTGCAATCCAGATTCAAATAGAATTAGAATGTTGTACACTTTTGTTCGAAGAGCAAGCGATAGGATGCTAGTTAAAAAGGGGCTGCTCCAACATCAGTCTTTCCTTCTTTTATTGATTACCTTGATGTAGATTCGATGAAGGAAATTAATTGATCTGAGTAGTGTCACGATTAATCCTGTACAAGACAGCTACTGCATATTCAGCTAAAGCATCTGCAATCCAGAGTCAAATAGAATTAGGATGTTGTACTTTTATTCGAAGACCAAGCGATAGGACGTTAGTTAAATAGGGACTGCTCAAATATCAGTCTTTCCCTCTTTTATTAATTACCTTAATGTAGATTCGATCGAGGAAATCAATTGATCTGAATAGTGTCACGATTAATCCTGCAGAAGACAGCTACGTACTGCAGATTTTAGTTTAAGCATCTGTGTTTCAGACTCTAACAGAATCGGAATCGCACTTTCGTTTACGATAGAATGCTAGTTAAAAAGGAGCTGCTCAATCACCTACATTTCCTCTTTATGGACTACCTTACTGTAGATTAGAAGGAGAAAACAAATCGATCTGAGCCGCGCAACGATTAATCCTGCAGAAGGCAACTGCTGCATATTAAGTTAAAGCATCTGTAATTCAGAATCTTGCTTTCATTTGCTGGCCAAGCGATACTAAACATGCTACTCCATAGAGCCAGTTTTTACACTATAATTTCTATGCGTAAGCGCTATTGAATGCTACAGTCAAGCTCTACAGTATGCAATACTAGTTGGCGATTTGAGCACTGTGCTGTACAGTGTACAGTACCATTGCGGTGACGGGAGACAATCCTGTGCAAAATAAGTGGTCAACCAAAGCTCCAGTCTGATATAGGTATCGTTTACCCACTATCACTATAGAATAAAATGGATATACATACATGACAATATATCTGCACAGCAGTTTACAGTACGGCAACCATCTCAGAGAAGTTTTATACTGTAGCTCTGGCATAGTCGTCGTCATTTTTTTCGAGGCAGGATAGAACCAGTCCTGCTAATTAGTCATCCATTGGCAATTTTGATCCATTTTATTGCTCTTATCCACTGATTTCCTCTATTCTAGCCATCATCGATCCATGATCTATCCTTAATCATCCTATCTGGAATGGCAACGCAAGAAGAGGGATACAACTATGAGCAAACATTGGTATGTAATCATGTCCAATTGATTGATGGATAGATTGATTAATCGGGTTGATTTTCATCCTCTAGTGGCCTTCGACTTTCCATCACTATAAGAGTTGAAATAAAGTACTTTAAAATATCCCAATCTTGATGATTTACAGTATTAGCGATCATTACAGTTGTATTGAGTGGAGAGTAGTTCAGTCATGATCAATCACCAAATCGAGCTTGAATGTTGAAAAGGGGAGCGGATCATAAGCGTAAACAATCCCATCGTATCTTTGCTATCAACGCTTTCTAGAGCGATCGTCTTTTCCACAACATGTTTACTTGATCAATGTTATTTTCTTATAGCATTCCAGCTAAAGTAATGCCACTACGGCATAGTCTAGATTGTTATAACATTAATGCATTTGTTGTATCTGTAAATCCTGTTTGTAAAGCCGTAAAACCAGTGCATACCATAGAGATACAGCTTGCTGATGGTAAACAGTCGGTATCGGTGCCAGCCCGAGATAACTCGTCCCACCATCACGGAAGGAAGAGATGAAATCCAATGTGAAGTCATCATTTACTACCTAAAGTCTTGCTATAGATAGAATAGATGATGGATAACATTTGGAATTAAAATAGCCAGTTTCTAAAGTACAGTATTATCGTTTTCAAATCAATCGATAATACTCAAAGATACAAGATTAAAATTCATTTAGATTGAACTGATTCCGGGTTATTTTGGGATTCTAGCTCGACTGCATCCAGCATTTACTCGAATCCTCTAGTTCCGTCAGCATTTATTTTCCTTCCACGCTATTAACATTGATCTCCATCAACTGTACAGAACTTTCGTATTATCTTAACTGCTAGGTGGAGATAATGAGTTGAGCTAGAAAATCTCCAAGCTTGAGATCGACCACATCTAATCTTTACTCTAAGTAGCCCTTGCAAGCCCATGAGTAGTCGACTTTGTTTTCCTTCGATTAGGATGTTAGTATAGTGTCAAGATACGCGTAGATCTTCATCGGTTGAATAACCTTCATGTTATCATAACTGCTAAATTATCTAGATTCTTTTTACATTCAGAGACGACTCACAATCTTACCCAAACTAATCCTGATATAACTACGTGGTACAAGGGCTGAAATTTCTCATACGTCTTAAACTAGACTAGCCTGTATCAACGTGAAAATCTTCCCTTTTCCACCATCCTGGTGGAAATAATATCATCTGCTTAACATGAGATATCCTGATAAACTTAGAGACTCGTGTAGCATTTTATACTACGTATATTAATTTGTTATGATTTAGAATAGGGATGCATTAATTGGTAAATAATAGTTATTATGTGCCTTGTTGTTATTATTAATAACTGTCGTGAATTGATGTTGGTGTAAGCTAAGCTGAACGTCTTTATCCAATTCTTCTGATCGTCTCCATTTAATTAACTTACTTATTGAAATAAGAATGAATACGTACTTACAATCATGCACAGCTCGTTATGAATTAATTATTCCATGATAAACTTTTACTCCTCGGCGTTAAACAATGATTGATCTACTCGTCTTGCTAAGTAACTATGAATCAACTCAGCATGAACCAATCTTCATGTTGTCTTTAATTAAAGGAAGAGACAGATATTGTTGGCATCTCTTCCTACATGACAAATGATCACTTCCAAATTTATTGCTCTGTCGCTGTTTTATTGGCATTTTATCCCCTTGAAAGGATTCAAACGAATACACACGACATGTATTTGGTAATGCATACAATAGCCATGACAAGGAATGTCTTCCATTAGATGACAGAATTTAATATTCAAGTAAATAATGATTTTGATGATTGTTCTCTTGCCATGGATGAATAATGGATATCCTTAGGGCCGTATGGAAATTGTATAGTAGAGCTTGAATGGCTGTTGTTTGATTTTGGCTGTTTTCACTTGGTTTACTTTACGTCTTGTTGCCAGCACAATTGATGACGGATAGAAGCCATTTTTGGGTATAGCTTGAAATAGTTGACAGTACAGTTAACCTTGATGGCGGTCTTTCGCTTTACTACGAACTTTTAGTGCTCCTCAATAATATGATATAATCTATCTCGACCATGATCATACACTATTGTGTAATATGTATTACTCTACGACGATGATGATAGATCAAGGCGATAATTAACTTGAAGTCAATTCATCGTAGGCGTAGATGAAAACTATCGTAATCTTGCATCCTCTTCCTATAAAGCCCATGATCATCCGATTTATCAACTCATGATCCAACAACAACTATAAACCAATACACTAATTAAAAACTGTAATGTAAATAATTGCCAAACAGGCTGTAAGGATGGTACAGTAATGAGTCAAAAAACACATCCATGACGAAAAATTTCAAGGAGCCGTCGTAAATTAAGCTGTAGTCATGAGTAAAAAGTAGACATCGGTAACGAAAAATGACTTTATTTTGAAAGAATTTACAATAGCTGTCATAATTAAACTATAGCAATAAGTTACAAGTTGACATCGATGACGAAAAATTATTTTATTCTAAAAAGTTCAAGAAGAACTGTCATAAAATAAGCTGTACCAATAAGTATAAGTACTCATCGATGACGAAGAACTACTTCATTTTGAACGAATTCTACAAGAGCCGTCATAATGAAACTATAGCAATAAATGAAAGTTGACATCAATGACGATAAATTACTTTATGTTGAGAGAATTCGAGAAAATTTGTTGTCATTCTTGTAGGAGCATAAGGATATTGATATCTGATTTTTCCGAATGAAATGCCTATTTAAATTTTCCCTATTCCTGCGTGTTTAAAATATTATTAGGTATATGGGCGATTTACCAATGAATTACAAGCCTTTGCTCGTGAACAAACCAATCAGTTACACAGAAATCGTACAGACGACAATGACGACGATGGAGAAATTCATATCCAAACTACTCCAATTTCACGTTATAGCCGTGATAATTGTTCTAGTAAGTAATAAATATTAAACTACAGCATGCCTTATATATACGCGTATTAGATAATTATAGTTTAGCAATTACACACGTTATTATACTTTACTAGTATCGTTGCAACTGGATAATATGATAAACGTAATAGTACTCTTTCAGTATTTAAAATTCGTACATTTCTCGTATACTGTATCATATACTGAAAATACGCCGATAACATCTATACTGTGAGGCTAAGATCTGTTCTAGCAATTTTTATATGAGGCTAATCTGTTCTTACAATGGATTATTCATCTAGAGTGCCCTGCTTGGATTCATAAATTAATCTTCGAATATATCGGATTAGATTGGATTTATTTGTTAGTACTTGGAATCATCATGGCATTATTAAGTTTTCTTATAGACTATTGTATCACACAAATTCAACATGGTAAGAGCTAGCTGCTGCTAGATTTGTATTGTCTTACTTTTTAATGATAGCTAGTTTGAATTGATATTCTAGTTATCTGTTAGCTGGTAAATTACATCTGTACTTACTCCAATTTGATCACTTTACTTATAATGATTATTATATTTTATTCTCTCTATTTTTCTTATGCAAATATAGCTCATATTTTAGCTTATCAATCTGCGAAACATAGTGGTTTCTTGCAATATCTGGCTTGGGTATTTCTACCTATGATTTTCCTATTATTTAGCGTTGGATTTGTCAAATTATGTTCCATACATGCTATCGGTAAATTACAGCCGTAAACATATATAATATAATATATAAATTTTCCTATGTGATAGCGTAGGCATGCTAGTTAGATCTATACATACTCTATGAACGTGTTTTCTTGCTTTATTTTTACTGTATATTTCGTTGGCTTTAATTAGGATCGGGAATCCCAGAAATGAAAACAATTATGCGTGGTTACTCTCTCCATCATTATCTTTCTTTTAGAGCATTAATTGCTAAATCTGTAAGTTAAGCTCAATTAAATAATCGTTTAAATACCGATAGCTCTAAAAATTATGCACTGGCTTACTATACTGCTTAATCCAGTAAGGGAAATACCATTTTAAGTAACCGTATTTTAAAAACTTGCTTAACATTATAACATGCTTATTGATTAGGTTGGTTTAATAGCTGCAGCTGGCAGTGGTATGCCAATAGGCAAGGAGGTAAAATTACAGGCTTGAGCTATCCTAATAGATTTAATATTCCATGGTAGAGTAGCTATAAAACCTACGTAGTACGATACTATTGTTGTATTGTTTTGTATATCACTAAAAAATTGAATTAAACATATAATTATGGCCAGGGCCCTTTCGTACACATAGCTAGTATTGTCGCATCTATCATGAATCGTATATTGGGAGTATTTCGAGGATTGTACAAGGTAATATTTAGCTTTACTCTCATACATTAATTACAATACTATTGATAAAATATTATCTTCATCAAGTGGTACTACAACTTTCAGTTCTTGTCGTAACCTGATACCTTTCTCATGACCCTAGAATGAATCGCACAACATGGATTTGCTTGCAGCAGCATGCGCTGTAGGTGTATCATCCAACTTTGCAGCACCTATAGGAGGTACTTATCCTCTCTTTTAATATTCAGAATAAACTCATTTAGTTAGACTATCTTTTGAAATGATCTTAAGTACTATTCATAGTAAAGTTATATGTATCATAACGTTTTGATCCTGGTCAACTTTGTTTATAGGCGTCTTATTCAGTATTGAAGTAACATCAACCCATTTTGCTGTAAGAAATTACTGGAGGGGATTTTTTTCAGCAGTTTGCGGCGCTTTCGTATTTCGTCTTTTATCAGTTTGGGATCGTGAAGAACGTTAGTATATTTGAAGATGATTACCTTACATATAGTCTCAAGTCTAACTTTCATCACATAACTGATAGATAAAACGAAATGGGATTGGTTATGTAATTCTATTTTATGGCAACTTACTTTTGTTAATAATCTATCTTTTTTTTCTTCTCTTAATAGAAACTATTACTGCGCTATTTAGCACCCATTTCCGTGTTGACTTTCCTTTTGATATGACTGAAATGCTCGCATTTATCTTTATTGGGTATAATACTACTATCTTAAACTTGAAAAATCTTTAAGATCTATCGTGTCAAAAGTATTTATATTGCTAGCTTACTGTATTTTCGTTTGCTTATTATAGAATTGTCAGCGGATTTAGTGGAGCACTTTTTGTATATTTACATCGAAAATTAATTGAACTTCGACGAAAGTATCGAAAAAATGTCGTGTCTAAATTTTTTCGCAAAAGGTACTTACATTTCCTTGAAATTGCCTCATATTGATCCTAACTTGTTTGATACTTTCTGCAATGTTCTTACAAATGCTCTTATTTAATTTGTTGCTTGCAGCATATTTCTCTATCCTGCTATCATCTGTTTTATCTATTTTTCGTTAACATTTCCTTTGGGACTTGGACGTTATATGGCATCTATTGTAAGTGGATCTAATAGATAGTTCAATTTATACTCGTATCATATAGTGCTTCCCATCTGTAATTGATGTCTTTAAATTCAGGTCACTCCTAAAGAAGCTATAGATGAGTTATTTTCTAACGCGACTTGGTATAGGGGTCATGCTGATAACATTAAAGCTCAAAAGATATTAGATCATTGGGATCATCCTAACATTTACGTTAGCTTGTTACTTTTCATCATCTTTCAGGTATAACAGAATGATTTTTACCCGGGTATTCAATTATTTATCAAAGCGACTACTAAATGATAAGAAATTTCTTTATTTTACAGTTCTTCTGGACGGCTGCAAGTGTTGCCTTGCCAATACCTTGTGGAGTTGTTTTACCCGTTTTCATAATAGGTATGTTAAAATACATGTGTTGCAAGTCAACACTCTACTAATACTGTGGTATTGCAAACGGTAGGGGCTGCATTTGGAAGATTAATTGGAGAAGCAATGGCGGCGTGGTTTCCATTAGGTATTCGTAGCGGCGACGGGTTATTTTCACCGATCGTTCCTGGAGGATATGCAGTTATTGGTGCTGCGGCATTGGCGGGTAGCGTTACCCATACAATTTCTGTTTCTGTAATCGTTTTTGAATTAACAGGTTCGCCAAAAGGAAATTTATGTCTTTAACATACAAACATTTTACGATTTCATTTATATAACTGCTCCTTGTAATGCTTTCGAAAACACAGGTCAAATCGTTCATATTATTCCCGTCATGGTAGGTACCATACAACGTAATAATATTCATATTTTTATAATTTTTTAATATTTTAAGCTTATAATAGATACTAAATGCATCATTCTCTGCCTTATTTTAGGTTGCAGTGTTAATTTCGAATGCCATTGCTACAAAATTGCAACCTTCGTTTTATGACAGTATAATACAAATTAAGAAACTCCCTTATTTACCAGAAATTTATGAGGACAAGTAGGCATCATGAAGTTGATGTTAGAGTATTCAATAAATTGGTTAATCTATTTTCATTATATGGCAGGGCTTACGATATTTACGTCTCCGATATAATGCGAACAGATATAAAGTATCTATCATATAAATCATCTTACGAAGATCTGGACAAGCTACTAGAAACCACAAAGTTAAAATCGTTTCCTCTGGTAGAGTCAGCTGGTAAACACTACAGTACTATTTATGTTGAAAGGAGTAAATTTTGCAATCTATAGTCTACCGCTGTAGATTAATTGAACATGATGATAGATTGAAAGTAATAGTTTATAATACATATGCAGATTCAATGGTCTTGCTTGGATCATTGCAACGTAAGCAACTAGAAGGCCTACTAGCAAGGTATATCAACAAAGTCGCCCAAGAAGTATCTACGTCACAGCCGACAACAGAACCTAAACGCGATCAGCTAGAATCAACTGTTAATGATGAAAATGAAGACAACCATAAAGATGGAGCAGAGTAAGTCCAAATGGTGGACTAAGCGTCTAAGGAAACGTAATTTTTATAATGATATTATTTGTCTCTTAATTAACCTAGAAATGGTATCTCCGACGATAACTCACAAGCACAATCAACAAGTGTTGAGGTAATGCAGAATACTGGTTAAAAATAATGTTGGATTCTTTTCCGTCATTACTGAGTATGTTTCCTATCGGTAATTGCTAAAACTTTACTTATTAGATTTCTTCATCCGTAAGCAAAACTTTGCGTCGCATGTCATCCAAATCCTCACGCAGCAATTTGTGTAAGAAGATTGTAATTACGAAAATGGTTTTCCACCTATAATATTAAGAAATTTAAAATACCTTCCTGTTTGTTTTATATTGGAATTTACAATAGTACCAGCATCGTTACAAAATTTGTTTCAAGGCATTTCTCGATCACAATCTCAAGATCAAGAGGTTATTTTGAATTTATTAAAGAATTACATAAAAAGTCATTATAATTGTAGCCATGACCCTTTCTAATTTATCTTTATGTATAATCGTGTTATAGCAACTCTTAGAAGAAAACGAAACTGGATTCAATTTAACTCCCACGGTTAGTGTTCTACCAGAAATAGCATATAAATAATTAACCATTTCGTTGACATGAACTATCTGTAATAATTTCCAACTCTAAATTTAAATTACTGTTATAGGATCACGAATTGTATAAAGAAAAACTGCAGGAAACTATAGATTTTAGTGAATGTCATATCGATCCTGCCCCATTTCAGTTAGTCGAAAGAACATCACTCCATAAGGTAATTATTAAAAGGTTTATGATGAATAGATGAGGATATGGATAGGGCCTTACTATCTTATTTTACTTAATAACTAATGGCGTATGATTTTATAGACACATTCGTTATTTTCAATCCTTGGGCTATCGCACGCATACGTAACTACAATTGGTAAATTGGTTGGTGTTGTTGCCTTGAAAGAGGTTAGGCTAATGCTGTTTTAGTAATTCGTAGAAAGATAACTGATCAAGGAAGATAGATTAAATCTAATATTAACTTTTCTACTTATTTTGCCAATACTTAGCTACAACTGGCAATCGAAGGCAGGAAAATTATGAGAGAAACCTCATCAGTTTACTATCGCATGCCAAATAGAAACAGGAATAGTTTTACCGGATCGGAATCAGAAAATCAATAAGTTTCTATCCTGATATAGTTCAAATTTATATTATGCGTTAAACTAGTATAGTAAACGCCATTGTACGATGTATACTTTGTAAATAAAATTCTCATTTTTTTTCTGTATAGGTTAGTAGCTTGTATTCTTTAATTATAATGTATAGATTTCGTTTCATAACCAGCCACAAAATACAGTAGATAGTTAGGTTAAAAAAAGGTTTCTTAAAGATCTAATTTTTGTTACCAACTACCGAAAACAACAATTGAACTAACTTTCTCGACAAAATTTTTTCAAATTTTGATATTTTCATACTGATATTCTAATAAAGTTCCAATTTTTATAGATTATTACGATCGTCCTGAAAATTATAAGCGACTAATCCATAGATTGAAGAGTCAAATTTTTACAGAAAATTTACTAGAGATTAGAGTTCTTGTACTTTGAAATTAATTCAGCTATTATGAATCCCTGTAGCGTATCTCTTGACATATGGTATTCCAATGATGTCTATTCGTTACATGTATTATACAGTATATGTACATCTTCTCCTGACATCGCTCGATCTAATATAAAACAGATTGATAGGAATATCAACTATCATACTTTTGATATGTAATATTAGATGAGTTTACCAACTTTTACCGTATCACACTTATCCACAAACTTTAATGTAAGCTCTATGAATGGAAATAGTACAGTCCAGCTTTATCTCTAGTATCGACATTAATCGTACATAGCAAAGGTAATACTTCTTGAATTTTATTTGGATTCTAAAAATTAATTTTTGCATACTGCATTTATTACGACAGTTACATTTTGTACTGCGGAATGGAAAGTTATGCCTTTATTTTCCGACTTTAGAAGCCGATCAAATATAGACCAGATAAGCTAGAGTTATACACTAATACTGTAAATTCGTTTCTGTGTTATATAGGATATCAAAAATAATTATAAGCATACAAGTATTATGTAATAAGACATACAAATTGATACATCGTGATTTCATAACATCTAAATCTCTAATTTCTTCGATGAAATTACATTGGACAGATAGATCTACACCCATTAATTGCCGTGCAAGCATATCAAAAATAAAATGGGCTAGATACAAAGTTATAAATGATGAATTTCATAATCTAGCAAAGGTTTAGTCTAAATCAGCCAAATGATATGGTATATTGGATAAATACCTGTATCACAGTTGGTACAAAAAATAAATATCTGTAGCTAGTTTTTCCTTTACACTGGTACAATTTAAATTTATACGTTATGATATATATTGCCAAGCTAAAGTGCTTATAAGCAAGAGAGTTACCCTTTAGTTCATTAGTAAATTTGCATTCGATGTTGATAAGACGTAGTAATGCCTCTGATAAAAATATGGTAATGAACATTCGAGAATATACTGTTCTACAGTATTAAGCCCCTTTAATTGAGCCTATACTGGATTTTGATCTATAGAAAATAACGCTAGCGAGATTTTAATATCTCGATAGTAAAGATCACTATAAAATGTATTCAAAATAGAAGAGTTTAGGAGAGCCTCATATTGGAATATTGAAGAGATGTTATTGCATAAATAGCAATTACAGTAATACTATCACAGTAACAAACCCTAACAGACTAAGTAATAATAAAGAGATTTTTGATTATAATTATATTAAGCACAAGTTCGCTAAAATATCAACAATACCGGTAATATAGTATATGGCTATACTATTCGTTATTACAACGTGTAAGCTGTATAAACCAAAAATGATAGTACTGAATTTATTTCAAGTATTTTGTAATTAGAGTCTTAAGTTGGTAAAGCTTTGATAAATTATTATCCCCATCATCATACATTAAAATCCCAGTCTGAAGAATTTAAATCCTCTGAAAACTCAGTTTTCATAGCTTGTGCCAGGTTCCATTGGTATGACCTTATAACGTAGGGCAAGAAAAATTTAACTGATCCGTCGTCAGGTAGGATATCCAGAAATTCGTTCATGTGTAAAAATGTAACTAATCGCCCCATTAAACCTGATGGAATGCCGAAATTTTTAGATTATTGATAAATGTATTATTTATCTACAATCCATTCAGCAAACGATAAAAACTTAACAGAAATCTTACCTTTCAAAATCTCTAGGTAGATACCTTTATCTGCGCTTGTAGATGGTATCTTTGATTTGGTCAAAAGCGACTTATATAAAGCAATCCACTGAAAAAGATATAAACAATTTCAGATAGTCATTGGAAAACATAAAAGTAAGTACTAGATAGCAACAAAATTCATTCTTGTACTCCTAATAACTACTGTTAATTTTTATCCATATTACGATATCATCAATTATTACTATTCACAACAAATTATAAATATTATCTTAATGACTGGACTAAATAGTATCTTTTAAACCTGATAAAGAATAAAAATATTTACGATTAAAAAGAAGTAATTTGAAGATCATATTTTAATCTTTTCAAATCAAGATAATCACTAATTCATTCTCTTTGTATATCGATATCGTCATGATTTTAGCGGCTAACGTTACATTTTTACGAAGAACTTTTTTATTAACAACACTTGATTGATAAGAACAGATGCTACTTAAGTACTATCCATTCGAGTTTCGATTATATCACCAACCAGTTCAGTTTTATCTTCAAATATATCCTGGGTATAGCTAACGGTAATATTTGGACAGCTTTCTAGTAATAGTGCAGTAGCCTATTGCATCGGTTTACGTAAGCATTGAGTAATATTAAGAAATATAAATCACTTTTAAAAATGTACAATAGAATTAATGGCTACATTACATGTTGATGCTGGTTAACAATTGGAAAGCAAAGCAGCTTTAACGATAGAGTACATGGTATTCGAAATTCTTTTCCGTTTGTATTTATGTACGATAACACATAATCTGCAGCCTTGGTTGTAACATATTTTGAGCACAGAAGGGACTAGAAATGTCAATGATAATCTTAAGCTAAAAGTAGCTCTAATATATACTAGGAGAATCATCTAATAAAATCAAAACACTGCCTTACTTGTAATTTTAGCAATATCTGACAACATAGCTGACAGCAACATTCAATATCACTATGTGGATCTGCTGTCGATTGCTGTCGTCCTGATAGTCGATTAATAGGCTGTCCTCGTTTTCCTCTTTTACAACGTATCTGTTCGGGCGCTTCACCTTGGAATTAATAGATAAATAAATTTAATGTCTTTCTCTTCAGAAATTACACAAGTAAAGTATGTAATTTTACATTGCTATTCCAGTAGAATAAAGTAATACTAAGTTTAAGCAATCATCTCTGAAACATAAAATTAATTATTTGCTTGTCTAAACTCGAACTCAGAGTATATTAAAATCTAAAATACTAATATGAAAATCACTTTCTCTTCGTTACTATTAGCTTAAATTATTTCTAGCTAATTACTATATCTCAGCTTCAGCCTACCAGATATTCTAATAAATTTGCTATATAAGCAAATAAAATTTGTAATGTTGATCCATTCAAATGGAAGGCTACCGTAATTATAGCCTAATGACCGTAATAGTCGTTGGTGTTATAAATTAATGAAGGCTAATTAATTTTCGTTATTACTGCTTTACTCTATAAATTAGTATGATTAAGGTATACGAGGATTTAGTAGCATAATAGCTAGTAGCGTTTAAAATAACTACAGCCATATTGAATCTAATTTTACGGATATTTTCCTATAAAGGAATATCAACAGTAGCAGACCTTCGAAAGGTGGAAGACTATCCAGCCAAAGAAACCTTTTTGCAAAGTGACCATTACCAAGAAACTGCCAAAATTATCAAAATTTAAAGTCAGAAAATGGTTC